CTTTCCTTACGTAGTTAAGTTAAACCCCTTAAACCTAACGTATAGTGTAGTACCGTAAACGGGTAAGGTAAGTAAATAAGTAAAATAAGATACAACAAACAACTACTCTCTCTCTCTTCTCTCTCTCTCTCTCTCTCTATCTCTCTCTCTCTCTCTCTCTCTCTCTCACACACACACACACACACACGAAAAAACAAATATACTTCAGAACTTAAATGTACGTTTTTAGAAGGAAGATATGGATGGATAGTTGTTCATAGGCTTCTTGCACTTCTAGAAGTGCCGGATTTGAATTCCACTCCTAATCAGAACCATAGAAAACACAATGCTTTCAGTAATAAAAAAAATCAGATTTTCATTCTTGAGGAGCCAAAATTATCTACAAAAAGAAAAAGACTCAGATGACTAGAGAGGAGATGATTTAGTCTGCAAGTGAAGGGTGGCATTGACAAATGAGCTCCTAAAATGAAGCCTAGGATAGCTGTTTGTTCTGCTAGGGCATGAGTTTCATTGAGAACCACCACCATTTAGGTGTGAGATGCAATTTTACAATAGTCAACTTACAAACTGGTGGTTTCTCTGGTCCAAGAGGCTTTTGTGAATCCAAGACAACAAAAGAATCAGGCAATTTGCCTAATGTAATTAAGTTGGCACAGCAGGAAACAGTACACTAATGGAGCATAGTGAATCCAACAGATAAAAGTACAGATCATAGTGTTTCAGCAAAGGCTTTCTTTAGCCTTGTTTTCAGAGAAGAAAATGGTGAGGCCAACTCCCTCACCAAAGATTGACAAGCTGGAGATTCACTCCTTGGGTATGGGGAATAGATTTCCAACTTCTTTGATGCCGCCATTTTGCACGTCCCCCATTGACTGCATAGCTTCAAAGCATGAGATATCCACCTCATGATCTCACAAAACTACCACCATCTACCACTTGAGGCTAGCCGTCTCTCTCATAATCCTAGAGATGATCTTCCTTGAGAGTGTGCCCTCTTCTGTCAATCCACCTGTCAAATCTCCTATTGCTCTCTCCCACCTGTCAATCCCCCGATTGCTCTCTCACCCCTACCAGGCTGTTTCCTCATTAACTAAACATATCAATGATAAGCTAAAATTCATTGAAAGATGATGTATGCAACTCTAAATATGACCATGTTTTGGAACTCCAGCAGCACTCTCCATGACCCTCACTCCCTTCCTCCCCCACATTCCTTCATGTTCTAATTCTTTAGACTATGAAATGAAAGGGATGAAATCTGATCCACTAGAGCCAATGTAAGTAAACCAGAAGAAGCATGCTTCATGAGCCTCGTCCTCCTTTCCAACCTTATCCTCCAAGCTGCCACCCTTGATAAACTAAATGGCATGTGTCCATCAGTCAACACACCCCATTATGAGCACCTAAAAAATGTAATACGTGTACTTATAGGTCTGATGCCCCCAAAACCTTAGCTTGATTGAAAAAAAACTCCAATGCCTATCCCAGAATATGTATGGGCCTGTTTGGATGACAATTGATTTTTCCTGGAATAGACTATCTTATCTGAAATAAATATACACTAATACTAGCCAATATTATTTTGTTAGTTGTTTAGTACTTACCTTGTATTGCATATAATATTATTTAAATGTAGATTTGCCGATAAGTTTATTGCAAATAACTTTATAATGGCACTTCAAACAACATATAACTCATTACCAAAATTGATTTAATTGAAGCAATGAATTATTAGTGGTAATGACAACATCAAACATGCCCTATATCTTTGGCTACCCCACATACATGTCAACTAAATTGTTACAAAATAAAAATAGCAAGCCCCCACACCTCCCTTCAATACAACGTTATTCTCAAAGTTGTAATAATCAGGATGTTGCAATAACTGGGATTGAGATTCATCCAAAAAGAAAGATAATTAGGATCGAGTTTTTGTTTTTGAAGCTACTCAAAGATGCCTTATTTTTTAATAAGTTATTTTGAAGATCCTTGTGAGTTGTAGACTAGTAGTTTAGTACCATAACACCATAACATAAAGACTTGTTGAACTTGTACACTTGGAAAGACTTGAAATATAGAACATGATTGTGTCAATGCCTCCCAAGGGAGAGTAGCACATTATGGCAGAGATCTGTGAGATTTCTGACAGCCACAATGTGCCCCCTAGTAGAGATGGCAATGGACCCGGACCCGACCCTTACCAGCCGGGTATACCCGACACAGGTCCGGGTATGGGTCCAAGTTTTGGACCCGCGGGTAGGGTCCGGGTCCAATCAAGGTTACCAAGATAGTCCAGGCACTGGTCCTGCTATACCCTACCTCTGTGCCTGCTATACCCTACCCGGCAGGTACCTGGACCCAACTTTTTAGTTGCCCAAAGGCCAAAGCCCCAACCCTACAATTGTTTCAATACTTTTCGTCTTCCCCTGGTTCCCCAAACGGCCAAACCCCATCGCCATCCCCCCTCCTCTCAGTTTCTTGGAGACATAGCTCTCTCTAGATCTCGAATGTCTCTCTCTCTCTCTCTCTCTCTCTCTCTCTCTCTCTAATTGCCCACCCCTCAAAAATCAGTTCTCTATTGTTCACCATTGTAGGCTACAAAGAAGGAAGCTCATAGTGATGGTGGCAATGGACCCGACCAGACCCGGGACCCGAATACATTCGAGTTTGGGTCTGGCTGGACCCGACTCATTGCCACCGCTATCTCCTGGTCATATGCCGCGTAATCCAATGAGATAGTCAATTTATTGGCAAATGAGGGAAGTGGAATGTTCAGCGTTGTTTATTTCCATAAAAAGAAATTTGGGGTATTTGAAATGCGATTTTCGCTTCTCATAATTTCTCTGCAGGACTAACATACTTGTTTCTTTACATATTTGAGATGCCATGTTCGCTCCTCACAGTTCCTCCACTGGACTGTTGTACTTCTTTCTTTACATACATAATATGAAATTTAAAACTCTGAAAATAGTGCATATCAAGTAGATATATGAACACTTGAAAAAGTAAAAAATGAACAATCCAAATAATGTCTTACAAGATGCACCATTTTAGGACTTGAAATCTATTTTTTTCACCCCCACATCCATACATCTCAAAGTCAATATTATCAATTGGAAGGTTTTCCAGTGTTGGAACAATATTTTTTGAAGGATTTTTTAGGCCCGCCTTACTTCTACATTATAAGTCGACACCATCTGTGAACCTTTTCCAAATATATATAAAATTACCAAATACCTTATATACATTACAAGTTGGTCATAGATATGAAATGAGAGAATACCTTTTCTTCAAGGAAGGATCGTGGAAGAATTCACAGGAGTCAGTAGGACCCAAGCTTATCACAGACCCAACCTCTGTAGCAGATAAAGCAAAAATCTACAAAAAGAGAAAAATAGCAAATACACATATATAATCTTTCTTTTGGGCTTAACGAGCCATAAGTCAATAACAGTTTGTTGAATCCAACAAACAATACAAGATGGAAAAAGGAACACAACATTGTGCGGCATAAAAGGACTAATGGGACAATAAATTTCAACAATATTCTTCAATGAAAAGATTTTTGCCCCCAGTTATGGAAATTACGGTAGAACCCATCCAAGTCAACATATGGCAAAAAAGGACTAATGGGACAATAAATTTCAACAATATTCAACAATAAATAGATTTTTGCCCCCAGTTATGGAAAAAGGTCGCACCCATCCAAGTCAACATATGACAACATATGACAAAAAAGTACTTCCCACTAAATGAAACTAAAAAGAACATCATCCTTCCAAAAGGTGGCAAAGCCATTCTTAAATAGAAAATCAGATAATTTCATCATTGGACTTGAACTTACTATTACTTTCGCGTTTCTCCAACATCTAGTGTAGTCTTGCAAAACTTTGAAAGACAGTGACATGTTATGTAGAAGTAATTCAAAAAGAAAGTATTCTTCAGGCAAACAAGATTGGTTACAATAAAGGCACAAGTGCATATAGTGAGTGAAGTTGATTAAAATTAATTAACTTTTGATCAATCAGGAGCCACCTGTCTCTTTTGCCAGTCATATTTACGTACACCAATCGCCGGAAAGAATGTCAAGAGCACACAGCCCCGCCTTTCGATTCGCATAGAATCAGGCTGTTCATTGCAAAGATTAAAAAATGAGAAGAATAGAGACAGAATGACAGATAATATCTCAGTAACATTTCAAGTTACTAAATAGAATATATACAGAGAATTTTATCAGAAAACAAAAAAGTCAGGATCTAGGTGCGGGCGTAAGGTGCCTGCAACACTCGCAAAAATCGCACAGAATATCATGAATATTGGAATCTAAAGAAGGTCCCTGCAGAAGTACTTAAACTGATTAAATAAAAAAATCATTTGGCATTTAAATAATGAGAGAAACAATATTATTTTGTAAGATCTCTTAGAGGAAATTGGGTAATTGAGCTAACCTAAAAAAAGATTTGACACGATTGAGGAATGAATTGGAAATTCCAAGATTCTTGAGCAGTAGCATAATTTACTGTTTTGCTGTTTTCCTAAAAAACTCATCATCAGCATGAAATATAATGAGACTTCAAAATTAGAGCATACATTTAGCTTACTGAATTTGGGTCCAATAGGATCCATTTTTAATGCAGCTTTTCCCTTGAAAATGCAATAGGGCACAGAAAGTTTGCACAAGGAACCTGTAGAATTACAAAGGGGCTCAACCATGTAAACTAGTAAACTATAGAAACAAAATAAAATATCTTAATATCCTACAAACCCATATTGTCTTATCCATGATAGATTTGCCAATGGAAAACGAGGAAACACCTAACTGTAGACATACCATTGATCCCTAGATCCCCACTAACTGTCGAAATTCCAACCCGTGATGTTCGATGGTACAGGCAAGGAATATCCGTACAAACAGCCTTTGCTGGTAATTGTTTAAAAGTCAGGGCTCTTCTGTTAAACAGTCACTGACATAAGTTACACGATAACAAAATATCCAGTGTGGCTCTATAGAAAGTAGGGAAAAGATATTGCAATTACTTTAAAATAATAATAAGAAGAAATGTACCACAACTCAGTGCAACATGGTAAGATGGTCCATTGGGGTCATTACCCTCCAATGGAGCGACCGTGATAAGGGTAAATAGGAATTTGCAAATGGGTCGTTGTCATGGTCTAGTGGTTCTCTTTCTCCATCTTCTTCCATAGGTTCATAGTCCACAACTCAATGGAACATGAAGGGATGGGGCGGGATACACAAATGGGTTATTTTTCATGGCCTAGTGGGTCCCTCGCTCCATCTCCATCCATCAATTCATCAGGCAGTGATGAGCCCAATAAACTGACTGAACCATCACCCATTGGATCATAGCTTAATCATTGGGAAATATATATAACCCCATGGGTAATGCTATATGGTACTCGAAAGGACCACCTATGGTTCATTCCTGATGATGGACAATAGAGACTATGAATGTCCAGTGGGCCCCAGTGGGGTTAGTCTCCACTATCCATCATCAAGAATGGACAGTGAATAACCTTTGGAATACGACATGCAATGTTCCATTTGAATAGTATACTATTCCTCAATATTGGACATTATGTGCATCAGTTATTTGCTGTATTGAATAACTGTAACAATACAATGGTTGTTTAACTATTACGCACTTTTATGTACAGCTTTTCTCAACATAAATCAAGTAAATTTGTCATCCATATCGCTCTTCATGCAAGGTCTACCAAGATTTACTATTCAGTAATCACTATTCACCATATTGTAAGTCTCATGAACAGTTTCTTATTCTGATCTCTTCATCTGATGATTTCTTATTCAGATTCAAAATAAAACTTGGAAAACATATGAGCATGAACTTTAGAAAATAACCAGAAAGAGCACTGTATGACACATTGAGACAAGAATCCACAAATTATATAATCTACTTGACTAAACATGAAATTACACTTCACTCCATACTCGTGGACTTTTCTGCTATATACATCATTTGTCATCATGTACATATTAAGTTCAAAATAGAAAAACATTTTACCAGTGATCTAGAAACTAATTGCAATAAGCAAGGGAATTGCATATCAAAAATTGTCTACAGCACGTCCAAGGAGGTACGAAACTGTCTTTCACCAAAAAGCTGCAGAATAGATATAATTCAGAGAATAACATATTGGAATCTTTGGCAACTGACAAATAAAAGAAGGATTAAAACTTGAATATGCAGTGTGAATTTGTTCCTCTTATATTTTTAGTGAGATAATTTAGGACAACCATCCCGTTATTTATTCATGAGTACTATCGATACCCAGCAGAACATTATAGTAATCATTATAGGTGCATGGGAGTGTTTTGTTTTCTTTTGTCTTGATAAGTGATCTCATTGGCTTAGAAGTATTAGTAGGCTACATAATAGGACTGAGATACAAAAATGCATAAGAGCAGGACATATACATATCCATGATCCTTCTCCAAATCCAAAATCTTAATAACCACATTTGCATAATAAAGGATGAGATTCAATATTCAAAATGAAAAAAGAGCCCCAAGCATACAGTTGTTCCCTGGTAAACTTAAGCAGCCAGGAAGCCAAAACAACCAATTTCCCTAATGACACGAACAAAATGAAATGCACCTAAAATACACAAACTCTAGAATTTACTCAAGCTTCTACAGTTGCCTCCATGGAGACAAAAAGCCCGGATAATGCACTGAATCACATTTAGGAAGCCTGCTCAATGGTCTTAAGGAATATCTTGAGCATTGTTAAATTACTCAGTTCCGTTGGGAACTTGGCCCCTACCAAAACCAAGTTAACTTGGACCAAGTTAACTTGGACTAGTCTGAATGGACTTGCCTTAGTCCACAAAAGAACTCAAGAAATTTCATATCGTCATCATCATCCAGGCCTTGTCCCAATTATTTGGGGTCGGCTACATGAATCTTGTTCCTCCATTCTTCTCTAGCAAGAGTCATACCCTCAGTAAAACCAAAAGTCACGATATATTTTCTCACTACTTCTATCCATGTCCTTTTGGGCCTTCCCCTTGCCCTTTTAGGGCCTTCCACTTGAACCACATAGCACCTCCTAACCAGTGTTGTATTAGGTCTACGCTTCACATGGCCACCCCACCTAAGTCTACTTTCCCCCATCCTATAGCCATAGTGAAGCCACACCTAAGTTCCCTCGTATCTACCCATTCCAAATTCTATCATTTCTTGTCTTGCCACTCATCTATCTCAACATCCTCATCTCAGCTATGTTCATCCTTCTTGACTGCCCAACATTTTGTCTCATGCAGCATCCCCGGTCTTACAACCATCCTAAAGAACTTCACTTTTAATTTCAATGGTATGCAGCGATCACATAAAACTCTAGATGCACATCTCCACTACGCCACCCAGCTCTAATTTTATGTGTGACATCTTGCTTAATCTCTTCATTCTCGTGGATTATCGACCCTACATACCATAAACAATCTCTTTTAGGTATTTCTTGGTCATCAATCTTAACTACTTCCTCATTTTTACTCCTATTATTACTAAACTTGCAATCCATATATTTAATCTTAGTACAGCTAATTTTAAAACCTTTAGATTCTAGAGCATCTCTCCAACATTTGAACTTTGCGATGATGTCGCCTCTAGTCTCATCAATCAAAACTATGCCATCCACAAACAACATACACCAAGGTACCTCATCTTGTAGGTGTCTAGTTAACTAGTCCATAACCAAAACAAAGAGATATGCGACCCCTGATGTGCACCTATCATTGAGAACTTACTTGTCTAAGTTGTCTCTCCACTAGTTATCCGTACACTAGTTAACGGTCCCTTAGACATGTTTATCAGTATGTTAATATAGCCTATGTAGACTCCTTTCTTTTCCAACACCCACCAAATTAAATATCTAGAAACCCTATTGTATCATCATCATCGGAGCCTTTTTTCCAACTATTTGGAGTTGACTACACGAATCCCAGACCGTAATTCTACTCTATCAAGGGTCATGCCCTCAATGAGGCCATAATTCCCTATATCTTTTCTCACTACTTTCAACCCCATACAATAGTACCTTATTGTATACTTTCTCTAAATCAATAAAGACCATGTGGAGGTCTTTTCCATTTACCCTAAACTTCTCAATCAATTGCCTACGTAAAAAAATGGCTTCGATACTTGACCTCCTTGGCATAAAACCAAACTAATTTTCTGATACACTCGTTTCACGTCTTAGCCGTTGCTCAACCACTCTCTCCAATAACTTCATAGTGTGGCTCATAAGTTTAATCCCTCGATAGTTCGTACAATTATGTATGTCTTTTTTATTCTTGTAAATAGGTATCACAATACTCTTTCTCCATTTGTCTGGCATTTTATTTGTTCTCAACACCTTGTTGAACAGCTTGGTAAGCCAACATATGCCAAACCTTTATTGGGATATCATTTGGTCCCGATAAAGCCTTTATCGGGCTATCATCTGGTCCTAAAGCCTTTCCTATCTTCATATTTCTCAAAGCTTCTTTCACTTTAGATATCTTATTCTTGCGCATGTAACTATGATCTTACCTCCCATTTATGTCAAAGGTTCCTCCATAACGTTTTGTTCCCATAGTATTCGTTATTTAACAATTTTTTAAAATAAATTCTCTACATTTCGTTGACCTCGTCGTCTTTCACCAGGATCCTCCGATCCTCACTCTTAATGCATGCAATATGATCTAGATCCCCACACTTCCTATCTCTTATTTTTACTAGTTTGAAGACATCTTTTTTACCTTCTCTTGTCCCCCAATTTATTGTATAGATTATCATATACTTTTTCTTTTTTGACAATGGTGACTTTAGATTATCATATACTTTAAGTTTAGCCTTAGTATTTACTTAAGAGTTTTTCTTAACATTTTTACATTCTTCTACGCTTTGATCATTTCTTTTACATTGACAAGCTTTATAACATGATGGTCTTTCGCTAATAGCTTCTGAACCTACTCACTCTACCACCAGGTTTCTTTGTTGAAATTTCTTGGCTAGAGAAATTCCACATAAATTTGGGAAACATAAGAAAATAAATAATAATTAAAAGAAATAATATACGCGAGGAAAAATTATAATAATAAAAAATTCATGCAAAACATGGAATATATTGGTAAACAGCCCATTGATTTTTCATTAAAAGAGTTTGGAAGACAGTACAATGCATGTAGTTTACAGTGTCTCCTAAACACAAATTCATCCAACAGATAACACTCCAATACAAAGAAATATAAGAATCTCATTCTAGTACCAATAGTAGTGTCATGAAGGTACATGGGAATCTTGTGTCTCACTATCATGAAGGGGTCCCCCCATCATGGAGGGGGTCCTTCCCACCGAATATCTGCGAGATAAAGGAGCAATGCCTACCCCAGTAATCCCTCCATGCCAGGCTGGCACCTCAGAGTGAGAAAAAATGATCCACAAGCCAATTCACCAAGACTAGCCCAACCCTCATGCTCATCGCCACTTTGGTTGTCCCCCTCTACCTGGGCTGTCCCGCTCACCATCTGACTCTGCTGCCCAGCATCCTAACTATGTCAATGGCTCAATCGATGGCTATATCACTGGCTATGTCGTTCACCACCTAGGATATGCCGTTCAGCGCCTTGGCATTATCTCTGACTTTATTATAGGCCGCCACCTCTGGTGTCCCCCTAAATGGAGCTCCCACCATTTTACTCCTCAACTCCCTCTACTTGTGGCTCGTACATATCCTCCTAATTAGTCTCATCCACTTCTAAGTTGTCTAGCTTACTTGATTCTTCAAAGATCGACCATCAATTTTCAAGCAATCAGAAATTTTCAAAATCAAGAAAAGACTTGCCTAATTTCTTCAATCTACAAAACCCATGAAATCTAGTGTTTTTTCTCGAATCTAAGGCTTCTAATTATGTTGATCTAGTGAAAA